CCTCCCTCCCTTCCTTCCTTCCTTCCTTCCTTCCTTCCTTCCTTCCTTCCCTCTTTCTTCCTTTCTTTCGTCTTTTTTTGAATTCCAATGAATCAAATCAGCTTTCCTCTGGCTAGAGAAATAGCTTAGTTGGTAAAGTTCCTGCCAGGCAAACCTGAGGACCTCAGCTTGGTCCTTAGAACCCAATATTAAAATGGGGTGGGGGCCATGGTGACACACTTTTGTAATCCTAGAGCTGGGGAGGTAGAAATATGAAGATTCCTTGGGATTCCTGGGCAGCCAGCTTAGCTTAATCAGAGTTCATCTTATATTACTTTCCCCATTCCCTTATTTTATCCCTCTGTATCTTTGATGACTGTGGGAATGACTTTTATTAATGTACACAATCTGAACTAATGACTTTTAATTAACCTCAGCAAAACCATGTGCTCTGGTGTCTTGTGACCTTGACACCTGATCTCCTTTCTTAAGCAATCTAGATTTAATACTTCCCCATTCAATCCTCCTATCAGACTTTACGTATTCTGCCATACACATTAAATCCTGTCTTACCCAAGGGAAATGAGATTGCAACATTTTAGGGAACAGATGTACATATTTTACAGGTCGTTTGTGTTGATATCTACTTTATGCTATCCCACCATATACCATTATGCTATGATTTACATAAATGACATGCACCAATTCTTCTTAAAGTCCTATGAGGATGTGAAGGTGTTACTTACTGCTTGGACACAGAAGGAACATGAAGCCTGAAGAGATCAAATCTACTATCCAATACTGGAGGAAGACTAGCTTGATACACAGAATAAATATTTAAGGATTCCACTTCCTTAAGTGAGAAAGGCTGATTAGTCTTCTTAGAAGTGAGAGTCATGTGTGAAGGAAAGGATGAATCTATTTCTTTTTAAAAAATTATTTTTATTTTATGTGTATGTGTATTGTCTGCATGTGGAGGCACACCCATGTTGTATAATACCCATGGAGGTCAGAAGAGGGTGTCAGAGCCCCTGGAACTGGAGTGACAGACAGTTGTTAGCTGCCATGTGGGTGCTGGATTTCAAACCTGGGTCTTCTGCAAGAACATTCAGTGTTCTTGACCAATGAGCAATCTCTCCAGCAAAAAAAAAAATCGTTCCTAGGATTGAAATGTGATGATAATACATGTGAGTGAAGAAGAAAAATAAGGAAGGGGGATTTGGGTAAAGGAATGAGGCGAAGAAGAAGGTACACTGGAGTCAGGGAGGGGGATCAAATGAACAAAACATATGAAAATGTAATGATACTCATGAAAACTATTGGCCAAGAAGATTTCTCAACATATATTATAGAATGACCTCAAATGAAAGTAAAATAGAAATAATAATTATAAAATTTAAATTCCTAAAACAATAGCAAGTAATAAAAAAATGTGTGCGACATTAAAACAACCAGTGTGATTCCCACAGGGTGCTTAATCACTTCCTCCCCGCAATGTAGGGACAGAGGCTGCAGATAGTCACCTGGGAGAATCTCTGGAGCTCACCAACTATGTATAATTCATTCCAGATCTTCATCCAAGAGACTCTGAACCTCAAATACAACTCTGCATCATCTCACAGTAGAAAGAATGAGCTCCTGTCATGCTTCACTATTGAATGTTTATTTCAATGACAATAGTACATAAGGTCTTCTGACCAGAGTACTTGCTGTGAGGCTCCACTATGGTGTTGGAAAGTATTCAAAGATAAATTTTACACTGACAGATATTTTAATGGTTAGCCTCGTCTTGAGATTTACACAGATGTCTTCTATTCATGATTTGCAGGTAGAATCTGTAAGATATGTGGCAGATGTGAGATTCTCATGTTGGTTATGCCAATAGGAAGGAGAGGTCCACCCCTCTATGAAGGAGAAGGAACGGGAGGAGAGGAGTCACCCCTCTATGAAGGAGAGGGAATGCACCATCTACTTGGGAGCTGACCCATGCTCATGTTCAATCTCCCATTTGTCTAGGCCCAGTGAACCTGGAACCTTGTGAGTATACCCGAGAGAGGGAGTTGTGAGCAGACTGAAGCTGCATTGCATCACTGACTTCTTGAGACTGTCTGTCCTAGAAGAATGTGTTTTTCTCTTCAAGAAAACTGGTAAGTGTGAATATATAATAAGTGCAATTCATCCAAAACAGGAGCAACTATACCCTTTGTGACTGATGGACAGAGTGAGAGAACTGGCTTCAGTATTTTCCAAAAAGTAAGGTCTAACTGAGGTATTACTGTAAACATTTCCATCATAGGGAATTTACTGATTGTCATGATATGATATGCAAATCTCAGAACAAAAACTGGGGCAAATGGCACTGAGATTATGATTGATTTTATATTTTTAATATATATGCATCTATCGTAGGAGGTTATGTAATAAAGCAACAAAAGAAAATATACAGATAATGAAGAAAAGGGAAATAATCCTTATTTAAATGACGAAGCTGTCTAGATGAATTAACAGGAGACAACTCTGTTTTATCCTTTTCTCTAACCTCATAATATCACTAAGGGGAGATATTAAACACAAGTGAAGAATGTGGACGTGTCAACTGAGTTCAGAAGCTAGATTTGCTTAGGCAATAATTTAGTCAAATTATAAAATTGTTTGAGACAATTAGCATATGTATAAAATTGCTTTTAAATGTCATATATTGAGTTTTTATTTCTGCTGCCTGCACTAGGAACGTTCTCTTATAAGTGAAGGCAACTTTGTGGTAGATGGGAAGTAATTCTCATTGTATAATGCATGGGAAAACTTCACATAATTTTTCACTGAATCATTTTTAAATAAAATATTTATGAATTCTTTGAGAATTTTATACAATACAGTTTGATAATATTTAATCTCTCCTCCCCTATCTCTTCTTAGACACACCCACATCTCTTTAAATCCAAACTTCAAGGCCTTTTTTAAAATCCATGGTATCCAATTTGCATTCCCCAAATACTCTTAGGTGTGAGTCCATCCATGAAACGTGGCCAACCTACTTGTCACATCCTTGCGGAAAACCACCTCTTCCTCTCCCAGCAGCTGTCAATTGCTAATAGCTACTCAGCTCCTCCTTCGAAGCTGAAATTTTGTCTTACTTGAACTTATGCAGGTCTTGTGTATTGGATAGCACTTTACATAGCATGAATGATTTATTAAAATTATTTTTATTCCATAGTATGTTATCTTATTTGTAAATAATGCGCTAAATTGATATTTGAAAGCCAGGTTTTCAGTATAGAATCTTTTAGATAAAGTTGTTACTACAATGATTGCATGTATCCTGCAATTTTACGTTTCAACTTAAATGTCTTTGTGATACTATTCTTTTTCTCATTGCTACAGAACACCTGATAATTTCCTGATGATACTGATGGAGAATAGGACAGGAGTGACACAGTTCATCCTGCTGGGACTCACAGATGACCCAGGCCTGAAGGTTCCCCTCTTTATAACATTTCTCCTCATCTACATCACCACTCTGGTTGGGAATCTGGGGATGATCTTGCTGATTCTTTCAGACTCACGGCTCCACACTCCCATGTACTTTTTCCTAGGTAACCTTTCCTTGGTTGATTTTGGCTACTCTTCAGCTGTCACTCCCAAAGTCATGTCTGGACTCCTCTTAGGAGACAAGGTCATGCCCTACAATGACTGTGCGGCTCAAATGTTCTTTTTTGCAGCTTTTGCTACTGTGGAAAATTTTCTGTTGGCCTCAATGGCCTATGATCGATATGTAGCAGTGTGTAAGCCCCTGTACTATGCCACCACCATGACTACTAGTGTGTGTGCATGGCTGGTCACAGGCTGTTATGTTCTTGGTTTCTTGAATGTCTCTGTATATACTGGGGACACGTTCAGTCTCTCCTTTTGTAAGTTCAATGTGGTCCATCATTTTTTCTGTGAGATCCCAACAGTCATGGCTCTTTCTTGCTCTGATAGACATGTAAATGAACTGGTTCTTATTGGCTTAGCCAGCTTCAATATCTTTTTTGCTCTCATAATAATCTTAGCATCCTACATGGTAATTTTCATCACCATTCTGAAGATGCACTCAGGAGCAGGACATCGGAAGGCTTTTTCCACCTGTGCCTCCCACTTCACAGCAGTCTCCATTTTCTATGGAACCATCATCTTCATGTATTTGCAGCCCAGCTCCAGTCATGCCATGGACACTGACAAAATAGTGTCTGTGTTCTACACCATGGTCATCCCTATGCTGAACCCTCTAGTCTACAGCCTGAGGAACAAAGAGGTCAGGAATGCATTCATGAAGGTTGTGCTGAAGAAAAAATAATCTTTATTGTTATAACCTAAATTTTGAGGACACTCAGTATTTGGAGTCATTCTTAGCAGATCATTTCAATGTACTGAGTTATATTTAAAACTCATAATTCAAGTTCCATAGCCATTACCATTTCCTCTGCAATAGTGTTTGGGAATAAAGAAAACATTATATATCAGGGAACACAATACCTGACTGTGAATTTTGTGTGTGTGTGTGTGTGTGTGTGTGTGTGTGTATTCTATTTATTTTTCAAATTTTATGTGTAAGAGTATTTTGTGTCCGTGTATGAAAGCATACCGCACACATGTAGTGCTCCCATGAGCCAGAAGAGAGTGTAATATCTCCTGGGACTGAAATTACAGATAGTTGTTAACAATCATATCAGTCCTGGGCTTTGACCTCAGGCCCTCTGCAAGAGCAGCCAGTACTCTTAAGAACTGAGGCATCTTTTTGCCCCTATATGCATCTATTTGGTCAAAAATTTTCTTACTAATATTGCTGCATCTGATAGTTTTCCTTGAATTTTTTTCTTTTGATACTCTGATGGTTAATCTATATTTTCAACTTGACTGGATTTTTAATTACCATTGAAAGACACCTCTGGGTATATCCACTAGAGTGTTCTCATCTTTGCAGGGTTTTGATGAAGTAAACTTAAGAATCTAATACAAGTCTTCACTGCATTTTTCCTGTTAAAATAAGAAATTACTATGGGGCATCTGTTGAAGGAATTCATTAATGAAATCATCTCTTCCTGGGATCTTTTATGTTTGGAAGGTTTGTATTGTTAACTGAATCTCTGTGGCTGTTTCCCCAGCTCAGAAGTCATCTTTGTGCATGTGTATATATTCAGGAATTTGTATTTTTGCATGATCTAATATGCTGGTATGCAGTTTTTCAGGTTACTTAACTGTACTCGTTTATATCAGTCATTCTTTCTTCAGCTTTATTTGTGAGTTTTGAGATTTTTTTTCTCTTTTTTTCATGATTAGTCTGAACAGTTTTGTAATTTAGGGTGATCTTTCACAGAATCAGTTGAGTTTTGTTTACTTTATCTTTTTTATCTAATATATTTTTCTTTGTTTGGTCTTCTCTAATTTTATTTTGTATAATTATCAACCTTAGTTCTTATGCATTAATATTACATTCTTAAAACAAATTTGGTTAATATCTAGCAATCATCTGTAATTTTAGACTAATTTTTTACATCTCTATTGTTTTCATGTGTGTGCTTGTGGGTGCAGTTGTATATATATGTGTGCATATACAGAGTCCAGATGTAGAGACATTAGAGGTCTTCCACAATTGCTCTCCACCTCGTTGTCTGAATCTGGAGCTAAGTGTTTTGGCTGTACTTGTCGGCCAGCAATCCCCATGGTCTTCCTCTGTCCATGTCTCCATTGCTAGGATTCCAGGGGCTTACCACTATGCCCAGCTTTACTGTGTGGGTGCTTGAGATTGAACTCAGGTCCTCATCTGTATGTCCCTGAGATATCTCCCCAGTGTTCTGTTCCCATTAATGCACTAACTTACAGTTGTACATTTCCTATTGTCATTGCTGTGACTGCCTATTACAAACAGCACTGTTTCTTGTTTTCAAATTTATCTCAAATTAAAATTTCTTCTTTCATGTATTTTTACCCACTTATTGTAGAAAACTGTGCTATTTACATGCATGTGGACATTGTAATTTTCCTTGTTATTCATTTCTCATTAAGTTTGATAAATTTGTTTTATTGAATTATTTCCTTTCATTTTTACCAGTGCTAGAATTGAACCTGGATCTTCCCATACATGGGCCAATGCTTGCCCACTGAGCTATGCACTGATGAGAATATTTTATATATTTATATGAATCCTTATAAACTTTTTTGAGACTTGTTTCTGACTTAGCACACATCCTAGGAATATTTTATGTGCAAATGAGGATGACTTTTTCTTAGGACAATGTTGTGAGTATGTCTGCATACCTTCTTGAATCATGACATCATTCACAGCATCTGTTTCTTGTCAAACTTGTCTCTAGCCATTCTCTCTGTAACTGAGCAGGAAGAGTCTAGTCTTCATCTATTATTGTACAACCTTTTCTCATTTTGGTCTTCTATTTTCAGGTGCTTAGATATTAATACTTACACTCTCTTAATTGGATTTTTTACCAATGCAGAATATCTTTGTTTGTAGTCTGCTCTGTCTGTTAAAACATGAACCATCATTTTTCTGCTTATCCTAAGAACACGACTTAGAAGGGATGAATTCTGTACCCCTCCATAAGACCTATTTCTGCTGGTGGAGCATGCTGGCAGTTTCTTCTTCTAAATGTAGGGCCAGTTGAGAAGCAAATGTCCAGTAATCTCCCTGTCTTCTATTTATCTCCATTTTCTGTCTCCTAGTTAGCCTGATGAAAGATCATAGAATCCTTTGGGAATGTTAAGAGAAAGCTTTACAGTATAATTTTTTACCTTACAACAGAGTCACAGTTCTATAACCTGATTCAGGTATGGAAATCAATTGGGTAACCAGTTTTAGTTTCCTTGGCTTTGAATATAGATCTTTCATTCCTTTAACCAAAGTCTCAAAACAGCCTTCCTCTATGCTGCTAACTCAGTAATCATTAGTTTTGTCTTATCATTGCCCCAAATGCCCCAGGGGCATGCCTAGCACTCCAGAACTGCAAAAGAGCTTTCTGTTATCCTGGGTTCTACCCAAAATTACAAATTTTCAGATCATTTGGAAAGTAGGCTGAGATAACACACCCAAATGAAGAATATACTGCATCCAGAGCCCTAAGAAGACTACTGGGTGTTATACATCTTCTTTGTAAGAAGGACCAGATGCAACAATTTATCCTTTACCTTAGAAGAAATATCTCAACATGTACACTATCACTCTATCCTAGACCATTCATTGAGATTGATGACCTTTTAATAGTCCTTGGATGTTTTCCCTTCCATCTGCCATTTAAATTTTACTCATAATACTACAGCAGTTTCTAAATCTTGATCACAACATTCAGTTACCACAATGTCATCAATGTAATGACCCTATGCAATACTTTTACATGGAGAAAGTAATCAAGTTCCTGAGACATAATCCATCCTATGAAAAGTTGACACAGCTGCTAGACAGGATATTACTAACCTTGCCAGTTGAAATGAAAATAACTTATTCTGGGATTCACTGACAGGGATAAAACATAATAATTTTTATCAAAATAGACGGAAATCAAGTGCCAGAATATGTGTTAATTACCAGAACAATGGAAATACAGCTGATAATGTAGTTGTAGTTTTTTTGAACCAACAGCTGATTAAGTCACTTAATGATTCATTGTTAGTTTCCAAGACACATTGTTTTTCTTCTCCAGCTAAGTATCAGCTTAATGGAGGCTTAGTGAGACTAGACCACCATTTATCTTTGAAGACCTTGGTTGCACCAACTTCTGCAATCTCTCTGGCTATACTGATTTTGATTTATTCCTCGACAGGTAGGGGCAGTTCTAGTGACTTCTATTTGGCCTTTGTCACCATAATGGCTCTTCAGAGATCAATTGAACAAGGAGAGTATGCCACCTGCCTAGTGTACTGTTACCCACAAGCACCATGGAACTGTGAAAATAAGCATAGGATGGTGTTGGGAACTGACCAATCTCATTTGGAAGTGAGCCTAGACTAAACTTGCAAAGATCACCTAATCTCCATTAGAGCCTATCCTTTACTGGCAGAGCCCAATGAAAACTTTGTTCTTCTAAAAGTAGCCCTGATAGAGTAGAAATTTCCAGTTATCTAGTTTTCTAGATATCTAGTTATTTCCTTTATCTGTTTCATAGTTGCCTTAATAAAAGACTGTGGAAATTTCTGCAGAATGCCAGAAGAAAGATTTATAGTATAGTTTTTGACAGTGTAGATGAGTCTTAGGTCTATAAATAGAGTCTCAGAATTGATTGAGGGAAATTTATTCCTAGCTTTTATGATTCTGGAAGATATTGTCCTTCCTTTTACAAAATCAAGTAAGACTTAGCAAGGCTTCATTTCCATTTTACTTCCAGGAACACCACAATCAACTAGTCAATGTCATGGGACTGCATATGTCAGGCAGACTATTCTGATGACTGCTTGAATGTTAGGCCCATTATTGAAATTTCACTCATCTTATCTTTCACAATCGAGTGCAACACTTGGTCCCTACCATGTTAGGAATGAATTCCTCCTAATATTGTGACCCTTTATTCAATGGCTTCAGTTCTCAATTTATTTTCTGATCAACAAGAATTTTGATGTCACAGGACTCTTTAAAGTTGTTTCAGATCCTTCATAATTTATCTCTTCTTATAGTTATGATAAAAGGTGCTTTATAGGGTCTATCATGGTGGAATGGGCATAGAATAGCAAATTCACCATAATATTCCAATGTTAAGAATACACATCTCTTCTATGTTAGGCCAAAATATACCAAGGATTTCAAGTACATGATAAGTCACCTTAGGCTCTGGGCTTTAGCCAGACAAATAACTTGGAATCTTTTCTAACTCTAAGATGCAAAATTGAATGCAGAGTCTCCACTTTTTGGGCCTGTCTCAGTAATTCTGGCCTGTTCCTGTTATACCTTCATCCCATGACACTGCACACCCTCTTTGACTATTGCTGTTATAGTTCTCAGAGTTCTTTCCCTTGAGTTAGAAGGCCAGGCAGTTTTTTTTTTTTCTTTTTTGTAGTGCCTCTTATCTCCTCACATGTCACAATTTGCATAGGCATCTCCTGAGAATTGATTCTACTTAGAGACCCAGGAGCAAGCAGACAGCTGTGTATGAGTCCCTAGGAAAATCAGTCTTAACTTGCAAGGGGACATTAGACTTTCATTAGGTAATGTAGGATCAGTTTCCTCAAACAAAGGCAGGCGTGCTAAGTCTGCTGGGAGTGGAGGGTCTGACTCAAATGGGGGAAGAAGGATAGTTCTATTGGCAAAGATAGCACACCAGAATTTATGGATTCTTTTTTTCCCATGTAATTATT